TAAAAAAATTAAGGAAATAAAAAAATTAAAGCTGGTTCATGCAACGATTTTACTGAGCTTCTTATATCTTCCTCTCAAATCATAGTCAGTTTTAATTCATACACCTTCTTGAAATTTATTAACATGTAAAAAGTCCTTGTCTAAATGTCTGCTTAACCGCTTGTCTTACTTCAGTAATCTTCCATCAGTAAAGAGATGGATTTAATGTCGAGTTAAAATAAACAAATTGCTACTTCTCTTATGACGACTAAGTGTGAGGGATATGATTTACTATAAGCCATTACAATTTCCACTACACTGATTGGTACAAAACAAAAAAACTAGTGCCAACTGCACCCACAGTGCACTGTACGCAGCCTTTTTGTATCGCGTTATGTTTAGTGCATTTGGTAGGTTTGGCTCTTGGTGAACATGATCTTGTTCTTAAGCCTGATAATGACCGAAAGTGCGGAAAATCTTTGTGTACGAAATGATTGAGATCAATAGGCATAATGGCATAACTATGGAGTCGTTCAAAAAGGTTATACTTTTATCAAAAATGGTATAAAGAAGCAATCAGAGTCAAAAACTAAAAGATGGCTGCAATGATATGTGTGCCTCAAAGTTGTAATCTCTTTGTATCTTAGCCCCAACAATAGGGCCAGAAGCCTTTTTACGCTCATGGTCGCCATTGTCACTAAAGACCCTACACAAAATGCAAAGCTTGTGACGTAGGCTGCGTCATCTGCGTATCGCCAAAAACTCCAGTGTTTGTGTACAATTAGCATCCGCCAAGTAGCAGCGAGAGGCTGAGCAACAAGACCAACCAACAGATCAGTTGTTGCTTAACAAAAATACAAGATTTTGACGGCAAATGAAGGGAAGATTCCTTGTGAAGGGCGACAAGGATTAAAGAATTGCCAAGAAACGCTGTGACGGAGAGGAGAATGTGCACCGTTGAGAAAGAAGTTAATAGCTGATACAGAGAAAATTCGTGAAAACTAATGTTAGTCTGTGTTTCTCCTGTCAAATTTGAATTCGCCATCGTCAATCAACGGTCTTCTCTTTTTCCCCCTTAATTTACCCGAGAGATATTTCTTCTCCACAGCACCTGCTTGGCCACGATCACTTAAAGGAAAGGAGTGTTATTCTGCTTCGACTCAATATTTATACCCTTAGAACACCCTTGTGCACATGTCTGCGTGCATTGAATCGCAAGGGATGTGTTAATTTAATGTATTTCAGTTTCGCATATCGTTAGGAGTGTTATAATAATAATAATAATAATGAACGTTCTTAATACGCATTTAAGAATCTCAATGCGCTTACAATAAATAATAAAAATAATAGCAATAACAAATTATCAATAACAACAATAAAATTTAAAACACTTAAACTACAAAGGTGACATTACTCATCACGGAAGTGGCGACGAAAAAGGTAAGTCTTAAGAGCCGTTTTAAAAGTTGTCAGGGACGAGGCTGACTTAATATGTTCAGGTATAGAGTTCCACAGTTTAGGAGCAGCGAAGGCAAACGACCTCTCACCATAGTATAGGGTATTAGGGCGGTATGACTTCAGAAGTAAGGATTGCATGGAAGAGCGAAGAGCGAAGTTATGAATAGTAATCTATTTCATAACACTCTATTCATGCTCAGTTGAAATAAGATATGGGAAATAATATTGCACAGCGCCACTCACGCCATACTGTTCATCTTTAATTTCATGACAAGCTCTTTTCCCTTTACTTCTTACTTACAACACCATCAATCTTATCCATAAATATCCCAAAACCTTTCCCAAACCTTACAATTCCCAAACCTACCCAAAACTAAAAGAAAAGACAGTATGTTGGTAGATCACAAAAACGTCTAGTACATAGCTAGTCTTACTTATCAGTCTGATAAAGGTCTCTTCTGTGGGCTAACAGATGGAAAAGCGCAAAGGAAGCGCTTCAGTTCATTCATGTCCGTCCATGTATTATTAACATTCATCACTTCGCTGGAGGCTAGTTTAGCAGAAGCCCCAGAAGGGTTCAGCACTTTCGCTAGCTGTAGGTAATGCAACGCAGTGTGACTACGGTTCCAACCAACATGATCCATTATTTCTGTTAATTCTGCCCCTGACAGCGCTAAGGTTATGGCGCACCCTGATCTAAACCCATGCAATGTTTCTCCGTCATTCTCGCCCATTTCATTTAAATATAATTTAAGTTGGGCCTCCGCAGTAGCTGAAGTAAGGGGGGCATCTAATATTCCACCATCAGGTGTTGTTGGGCGGAATAAGTAACCGCGGGTAAGGTCAACCTGCATTCCCCGAGTAATATCAACATAGTGTTCAATACCTCTAATGGGACAAATATCGGATTGTGGATTTCTTCTAATTCCAAAAACATGTTGGTCACCATCCCTTAGGGTCTTCCCCCACACGTGATTGAATAAAAACCCATCATCATTGGGAAAGCGCAAAATTTCAACCACCTTAACTTGGCCCCGGTCACCGGGGCGATCACCACTGAAGAAAGCGGTTTTGAAGTACGCCTGGTCCCGAGCGATAATGAAACATTGTAACGGCTTATTAGTGGATTGTGCCAGGCGCCTTTCCAAGAAAAGGGAAAGCTGGGTAAGTTTGTCAACAAAGAAAGGCGTCGCCTGCTTAGGGGTTACCCTTGCCCTTAATTGCTCCGCAGTCACCACACGAAGATAGTCCTTTACGGACTTATCTGCTGCGGGATTGCCTAGTCCCAGCCTTTTATCCCATTCACCATCCCTCCCAATGGCATGAAAAATAGATCTTAGCTTTCCAATATATGAATCCACGGTTTTATAAGATAATCGAAGAGGACAACCACAAGTTTGTTTACCCCGTTGCCCAACAAATTTACACCCATTGTGGTGGATCTGCGTTCGATCATCCTTATCCTTACAAGTGAGAAAACGGCATATATCCCGGGGAGAGACAGTAGCTAAAGACACTTTTCCTGGTAGGGCTGATAAAAAGGCTTCTAATTCCTTCTGTAGAGAATCCTTTTGTCTCGAGTAACTGGTGGCCTGATCAAAGTTCAATAATTGTTGCAATCGTTTATCTATAGAATCAAGATCAAGTTTTAAAGTGTCACTCTTCTTTACTAAGGAAAAAATCTTTCTCTTGTAGCCACAGTGCTGGCAAAACCTGAAGTCACTATCATTGGCACGGCTACAAACAGGACAGCGAACAGATGGTACGAATAGTTTTGCCACCAAAGGGAGTTCCTAAACAACGGAGAATATAAAAGAAAGGTTTTAGTGGTACACTCGAGAAAAAGGATTCCTACGAAAATCAATCTAAGTTCAATAAAATATGCCTAAAAAATAACCGAGAACACCCAAAGGTCTCCCGGGATTCCGCCTGGGCATGGGATCCAACCCTGATTCGAAGGTACAAGAAGTACATGGTCATCCCCTGTAGAAGCCATTTTTACTGCTTTGTTTGCATGACCATGTAATAAAGGCCACCAATATTTTTTAGGGTAACTGTCCAGGACCGCGATTGTGCATGCTTGTTTCATTCTCCGTAGATAGCGTAGGACTGGACCGACCAAGACCGGAGGTGGAAAAACATATGGGCATTGCCTGAGAGACCCAAAAGCTGTTAGATCCTGAGCAAAGAAGTTAACACCCGCAGACCCTGGAGAAGAGACCGGAGTGAAGTGAGGCAGACTATTTCCAGACAAGTCCTTCTGTACGTTGGAATCTAACGACATCAGGTCAAACGTGTGCCCCGTAGAGCCTCCAAACTTTCGCTGAACCTTCTGCCACATACTACCTGTAAGGCAGTAATCCGAAGAGGATCTGTGTCGAGAGGGACCATCTGCTGGATTATCCGCAGATCGGACATAAAAAGGACGCAACAGGACATTCAGGGCAGCAGTGGTTGAGAATAACACCTTCATAGCATTATTTAGCTGAGCACTCCTTCCACCCTGGTTGGTCCATGCGTGAATAACGGCTTGATTATCAACCTGCAATGTCCCATGTGTACTCTTCCCGTGACCAATAATCAAAAATCTGACGGTGATTTGGAAAAATAATCGTAGCCCCCCATCCCGAAGAGGATGCGTCCGTTGCCACAGAGACTTGAATATGGCGTTCGTCGCGCCATGGTATTGGGTCATCCCAGTTTTCAAGGAACAGCCAATGAGCGATCTCTTCTCGCAGAGCACCTCGTAACAAAATCAGCTTCTGGGAACGTAGGCCCTTTGAGATCGCTGCATTCATTTCTCTTGTAAAGAGCTTTGCCGCCGGCACTGCTCTAGCGAAGGAAACACATTTCCCCACAAGGCGTTGCAACGTTTTAACGGAGACATAAGATAACCCAAGTATCTCATGAATAAGGGCAATGAATTTCTCTTTCTTCTCTAGAATCAAATGAAACATTTCTCTTGAAGAGTCTGCCATGAATCCAAGGTACGGGACAATCTTTGCTGGGATCAGAATAGATTTCGAAAGACCAAGGAAATAACCCAGTCTGATTAAATAATAGGCAATCAGGAAAATGGCAGACTTAGCAGCTGCAGAATTGCGTTCATCTGCTGTGGCCAAGGCACCGTATTCTCCTTTTTCAAACGAGACCTGAAGCTGGCCATTGTGACGATCGTCAATGTAAAGAAGGCATGGAATGCCAATTGAACGGAAAAAAACAGTTGCAAAGAGACCTGTCGTGTGATAGATAAAAGGGGAAACCTTCCAGCCAAAAGGCAAGGTATTGTACGTAAAAAACCAACCACCCCATTGTATACCAAAGAAAGGACGGCTACTCTCTGTAAGCAAAATGTGATCATACCCAGACTTATCATCTAACACAGTCTGAAAAGAGTCTTTTAATAACGAGGCAAATCATTACGGGTATCCAGAGAGAAAGGATTGTCCTTCATCCAGAGATTCAAATAGCGCGCGTCATGGCAGAGGCGGGGCTTTGACGGCTCAACAGTCAGAGGTAGTACAATATGGGGCGGTGTCACCTTCCCAACTCTCCCCACCAAAGATATCGCCCCAGTCCCCAGACGATTGATCAAAGTTTCCTGAACAAAGCGAACAAAAGGCTTGCATGACATGTTGTTTCTAAACAGCCTGTGGGGTGGGCGGTCAGAATCATACTGTTCGCCTTTAAACGAGCCCCTGAAATGTTGGAAGTACGGAAAAATCGAAACTTTATTTTTGATCCAATCCAAGACATCGGTTTGAGCCGCCATTTTAGGGCATCGTTCCGCGACTTTCTCCCAAAACGAGTAGTGAGCGTGAAGCTCTCCAGCTCTAAAATTACTGGGGTCTCGGAAGGACAACTCATTTACATCCCTTATAATCTCGCCTTGCTCCACACGCGTGACCTTTTGCATTAGTTCACGTGCCGTCATCTCGCCGCTGACCGCTATGGAGTTCCCCATGGAGTCTACCCATTGAATTGCATTCACCCCAAACTGTCCATGAGTGATAGCGTTATCGAAGTTCTTGTCATATTCCCAAGCCCATGAAATGATTTCCTAGGGAAAAACATCAAGAGAAAAGGGTATTATTCCCACGGGTAAAACCCCAAAGTAGTCAGCAGAGAGATGACAGCTCTGACCCAGTAATCCTGGGAGGGTAACTAGAAACCCTGTTTTCAAAGCTATCAAAACTCTAAGACTATCGAGTTTATTACAAATTAAGAGAAAACACTCACATAGGACATGACTGAATTGAAGATACGTTTATTACCCAAACAGAAAACCTAAATCAGCTTAACATGTGTTGTCTGCGAAAAGTTCACACTTTATTTTGCGGCTGACGCTGGAGACGTGCCATTCTTCTGCAACCCCATGTTCCCAGAAAGATCCCTTTTTCTTGCCTCGCAGAATCGTTTAATATGGCCAAGTCTTCCACAGTAGAAACACGACATAGGCCTTCCCGGGTTTCTCGGGAAATCTCTGACATTTCTCTCCCGGCCTTCCCTGTAATAGGGAGACACAGCTGCGGTCCCGACCCGGTCCCTCGAACGATAGTGTTTCTCTACCTTCGCCACACAATCAAAGATCTTTTCATGATCTTTATCGCCCAAAAGGCGCAGGACGAGACTTCTAAATTGATCCCGAGGCACATCGAGCTTTCCACGGACTGTTTGGTAAACCAAACGATAGAAATTCTGACGGTCATGCTTGGTATCTTGAGCCGTAAGTTGAAGCGATTCTAGCATCTCCAAAGCTTCATATTTATTGAAATCTGGTAGGGGACGAGATGCGTAGGCCATAATCTTCATTAAGGAGTTCTCCACAGATGATCTAGTCATTGTCTCAACTGTCTGGTTCAACTTCAGGACTTCAGCTTGTAACTTCTAAAAAGGAGAAAAATTCCCAATCAACAAACACGCCATGACTAGTAAAGCTGATAACAATCACAAATTCACCTCATAACGGCGAATTTAAGATATACTCCCTGACGGAGCATACCTAATGAGTCTTTGCCCTTGTAACAATACATGGCGTATCTATATCTTTCAACAAATATACCCGGCGGGTTCTCGTTTCGTGCCTAGACACAGCGTATAAATCCCGATGAGAAAACTCACCCCCGGGACTACACCCGGCGTATAAATCCTGGTGAGAAAACTTACCCTCGGGACTACACCCGGCGTATAAATCCTGGTGAGAAAACTCACCCCCGGGACTACACCCGGCGTATAAATCCTGATGAGAAAACTCACCCCCGGGACTACACCCGGCGTATAAATCCTGGTGAGAAAAACTCACCCCCGGGACTACACCCGGCGTATAAATCCTGGTGAGAAAACTCACCCCCGGGACTACACCCGGCGTATAAATCCTGGTGAGAAAAACTCACCCCCGGGACTACACCCGGCGTATAAATCCTGGTGAGAAAACTCACCCCCGGGACTACACCCGGCGTATAAATCCTGGTGAGAAAACTCACCCCCGGGACTACACCCGGCGTATAAATCCTGGTGAGAAAAAACTCACCCCCGTGTCTACACACGGCGTACTAAAATTACTATATACAAATAACAAATAACAAATAGCAAGAAAGAGCTCTATAACAAGAAACTAACCCTTTGGGAAACGCAAACAGATGCGCTTAACTTGCAAATATGCCGTTAAAACAGGGAAAACAAACTCGTGTAAAGACAAATGTAACACGCCCACGGGAAAAATAAACTTAAGCTCTTACGTAAGATAAATAAACCAAGCCTATAATATGTTCCCAAAATGGCGAAAAAGCAAAAAGTAATAAAACAAGGACAGGAACATCAAAAATTTACCTCGAGTTCGTTTTGTCCGCCGGCAGCAACATTTTGGGCAGCATTTTGATCCGCCGCTTGTGCAGCCTGTGGCTCTGGTACACCTTGTGCGGCTGGTAGAACTTGGGCAGCTTGTGCAACTTGCACGGCTTGTGGAACTTGAGCAGCTTGTGGAACTTGCGCGGCTTGTGGAACTTGAGCAGCTTGTGCGACTTGTGGAACTTGTGGAACTTGTGGGCCTCGTGCTGGAGGATTTACTAGCGGTTGAGGAAATTGTACTCCCGGCGCTGGAGCTTCAGCCATAATTCTAGAAAATTCGCGTGGGTCGAAAACCGAAGAGATGTCGTTCACTGCCCCGCTGGCTGAGACTAAGCACGAAAGGAGTGTTATTCTGCTTCGACTCAATATTTATACCCTTAGAACACCCTTGTGCACATGTCTGCGTGCATTGAATCGCAAGGGATGTGTTAATTTAATGTATTTCAGTTTCGCATATCATTAGGAGTGTTATGAATAGCGAGTCCTTTAGAAGGGCGGTTAACTCCAAGCAACATTTTTTCCTCAGTCTGAGAATTCTTGGCAAAATCGGCAAATGTAAAGACATCGGCTAAATCATTAATTAAGAATGTGAAAAGAAAGCGCCCTTCAGACACTTTTTGAATATTAATTTAAGCAGTTTCTTTAAATAACGTGTCATCTATTAGGGCGAGTAATTCAGAGAAACTCTTTTTCCTCTGTCTGAGAATTCTTAAATATACTGCACTGGTAAGGCTTCTTAAAAGACCTAAGCGAATTGAAAAAAACTGAATGTGTAGAAGAGTAGTTATAACTCGCTTAAAAGTCGTACAAACAGAAGTATGGTTTGAAGTAAATACCAGATTTACAAGAGACATACTGGATATACAGCGACCATCTTTTTTAAAGAACATTTTTAATATTTACTAAATTATTTATTCGAAATTCCTTTCTCATGCTAACACTGAATTTTGGAAGATAGATCGATCAAGAATTCCCTGACAATTGGCGACGCCAATATATATTGTTTTATACGCCCAATTGAACTTCTCAAAAAGAGTGAATACCATCTTCACACATTTATAAGTATTGATATGGACAATTTTTAATAACAAAACAAACTTGAGTCTGTTGCTGGTCTTGTGTTCTGTTGTCTTGGAAACAACGCCGAGCGCCCTCTTTCAGTTTGATAGAAGAAACTGTTCTGTCTATTGAAACAAAAAACTGTTACATCGCTAGTTCTCCCGCCTAAGTCTTCGCAGTTATGTCATTCATACTCACATATTGCAATGAAAGTTTAATCCCTAACTCCTACGAGTGATCAAGACAGAATTTCTTCTTACAAAATCAACACAATATCAAGCAGAAAAGTGATGGGAATAAATAGAAAAATATCAATTAGGGGATGACTAGTTGATCCAATACCAAATTCTCCTAACTTACCTCACAAGAATTGTATGGTGGAAAGGAAAGGAAAATTACTAATGATATCTGGGAGATAAACGGTTAATAAGACAGCAAAATCAAATTGACGTCCTGATTCTTTCATAACCGAGCATGCACATATATTTCTTGATGATGATTAGTTAATAAATTGTAGCAGAATGAAAATACTTTGCTTAGGATGTGATCACGACGAGACACTTGAAGAACCGTGGTACAAAAATTCTGTTCTGAAGCTCATTTAGAGGAAGTACTGCAATGACTTAATACGCTGTATGACAGAACAGGCAAGTGTATTAAAATCACAACTCTTGCACTATTTTAGAAATACGGCGTTAAACTCGACATCCCACCTTTTAAATCGAACGTCATGAAATATTCCATATCGTATGGGGGTAAATCTTTTGTGGAATCTCTTGCCGACCGAGTGCCATAAAGCAGATTGTTTTAATAGCTTCTCCAGAATGACTCAGAAACTAAAGCTAATTAAAGACAATGACTTTGTGAAACCGTTCTGCTGGATCTAACTGTCCGTCATTATACGTTGTAAGCTAAACGATATTGTTTGTCAGTCATTTTATTCATTACTATGTTGATCAGATAGAAGCTTATGTTGATCATGACACGACCCCACATGGTGGTAATATTTCACCCCCGTTGTGTTCAAATAAAGGTGATATTTACTTATTGGTTACTTACTTACCTACGTACTTACTTACCTACCTGCCTAATTACGTACTTACCTACTTATCAATGCTTCAGGCTTTCAACTGGAAACAAGGACTATCCAAACAAGTTCAAGGTTGACCAAAGATTATCTTGAACTTCCTATCTAATAAAATGTCCCACGTGCGTTCTCTTATAATACTTGTTACTTTAAAGAGTTTCTGAAATAAGTTTGATGCTTCATATACCTTATTTGGCGGTTTAACATACTATGATATAAAGCGAGAAATTTGTGAGATTTGATTGCTGGACAGTATTATTTCAGTGTAATAGTGGTATAACGGCAAAATTGGATGACAACACCGAACACAATTACGCTTTTGTTTTCAAAAAAATTGCTGCAAGATTCTCGGAAATTTCCGGTGAGGAAATACATAAGCCCGCCGAAAAAGCAGTAAACAAAAATATGTTCAACACTAGTACGACGTGGATGAATGTTTGGAAGTTGTGAGCGGAAAGCAAGGATCCTAAAGATGACATTGTCAAATACGAAGATAAAGAACTGGACGAGTGTCTCTCGCGATTCTTAGCCGAAATTCGCAAAAGCAAGTGTAGTTTGCCCATTCAGCACAAAAATACAGTGACTCCAGCCTACCAAACAGTAGTCAACAACTTTCATGGCTCTCAGTTGACTATAAATTACGGAGCTAGCGTTCGTGTTTTTCAACAGAGCAGCAATTAAACACTGGGAGAAGCCTGCGCGTATCTTATTTTTAGTTTACCTTTAACGCTGCAGTAACTGCGAAACGCCTTCAGTGGTTTGTACTGGTTTCACAAAAAAAATGTCAATCCTTTTTCTTATTGACGTCAAAAGATTGTTACGAATGCAGACGCCTGTGTTTGTTTTTTCCAACCGTATCGAAATAGAGGTGTTTCTGCGTTACCGAAAATTTCTCGGCTTCTATTATAAACAAATAGTAGCATGACCTAGACGTGGTGTTTTAAAATAATACTGGCTCGTAATATTTCAAAATTGTCCAAAATACCACTCGCCGCTTCGTGGCTCGTGGTAGTTTGGACAATTTTGAAATATCAATCGCGGTATTACTACTAGATACCACCGCAGGTCATACTGTACTGACACGGGGGGATATTTTGCGAGTTACGAGGTATTTTTAGAATTTTAGCTTCTACTTTCGAAATACATCATACGGCCTCATCTGAACTTCTTATCGATCGCATGAGGCGTGAGCAAAAGGCGAAAGCAAAACCAACGAAACCATCAATTACAAGGTAATTTAGTGTTAACAACTGAGTTGAAAACGTAAATTGGCCACCGTAAAGAGCAAAAAAGCTGTTAGCCCTTCGTCAATCGCCCTGACGAAGGGCTAACGCTCGAAACGTCAGCTTTTTTACTCTTTACAGTGGATAATTTACGTTTTCAACTCAGCTATTAGCACTAAATTACCTGCTATACTCTCCCACCGACGCAGCACCACAGTTTCTTTAGAAACTTACCCCCTTAATCAATTAAAAGCGTCACTGGCCGTTTTTATGCTAGAAACGTTAAAGTTGTCTAAGACGTTAAAGTCGTCTCGAGACGACTTTAACGTCAAGTATAAAAACGGTAAATAAGGCTGACGCATTTAACGTCTGACAACTTTAACGTCTTCTGTTGAGTGCGTCGTTTAGACGCATTTAACCGACGCCTTTAACATTTCAGACGTTAAATGCATGTAGTATAAAAACGGGACGCCCTTGCCGGGACGCATTTCGCCCTATCTCTTTCAGAGACGACTGGCCTGAGTTATGCTGAACGCTCAAAATAACATGGCGGCCAAGAATAACTCGAAGGAGACTCGCGGCGGAAAGTGGCGCGAAGTTGAGCTTAAGGTATTTGCAACTGTACTCGCAGACGACCGAAATGAATTTGCGTTGGCTTTAGAGACCCTGGCGCTTAAAAAGTCAGCCAATTTTCATATTTTTCAAAATATTAAGAAAGAACTCGATGCTCGTTTGCAGACGGAGAACATACCATGTTCTAAGAAAGGAAAAGAGAAGGCAATCGAGACATCAGTTGTAAAGCTGCGAGCAAAATATAAATGGTTGAAAGAACAGTGGAGAAAATTCACCGACAGGGCAAAGTCTGGCAGTGGAAAATCAGCGATAGATGAACCTGATTTTGTCCGAAACTCACACAGAATTAAAGGTTGCAACGAAGGCAGCGGACATCCTTAATAGTGACGACAGTAGTGAAGATGATGAATATAATGAGAAGCAGGACGCGATTGAAGAAATGAAGCTTGCTACTGGTATGGTACCCCGTGAGAGGAAGCAGCCATTAGATTCAAGTACGTCTTCTTTAGATGCAAGTTCTGAGCAAAGCCACTTGTCAGGGAGTGAGAGTGAAGAAGAATGTAACAGGTAAATAGTGAATTGGTATTATTTTCCCCAGACTTTCAAATGAATTTTATAATGGATGTTATGTAATTGCACACAAGGAATTTGTGTCAGTAATATGTACATGAAACATGAATATAAAACTATTGCTATTCGTCAAATTGTTAGTGACTATATGCATCTTTACATGGTAACTATGATTTTATTAGTATTTATTAGTCAGCACTTTAACTTTGCCTCACTACATATAAAATAAATTTCAGTTAATATTTTTGCAGTTACCTACATGTACTTCCAACTCATAGGAAGAGGGTGTATGAAAAAGATATTAAACAAAGTGGTGTGTTGTCTTTGTGTTGGTGTGGGACAAATAATACAGAGAGGTGCAAGAGTAGAAAGTATGTGATTGCTGAATTATGCATTTGGGAAACAATTCTAAATGTTATGTTTCCAAAAAGTTGATATTTTACGCTTACCTACTTGCAACTTACAGGAAGGGTGTATGGAAACGATATTAAACAATTTGGTGTGTGGGGGTTGGTAGGTGTGGGGGTACAAATTAATAGAGAGGTGCAAGTGAAGAGAGTTCATAATTATTGCATAGGAGTACATGATTGTTGTTTTAAGTTTTTGAGAAAGAACTCTTAATTCATTCAAAGTTGATATTTTGCAGTTGTCTCATGTTTCATCTTTACCATTAAATTAATCTCTATTATTATCTACTGCTCTATACATTGATCCAATAAGGGAAGCCTTATCAGAAAGGGGTCAAAACAGAGTGAGAAGAACTACTTTCAGTCATTAAATTCAGGACCAGGCGTGGTAGGGTTAGATGAACTGTTACCGTACCTCTCCCCCCCCACTGACAAAAATATTGTCTTATCCCATCTTCAAAATATACCAGAGAAAATTAATGACCACTATCACTTCAAGACTAACTTAATTCTTGTTAATATACCCTCAACTTGGTTCATACAATTGGCATGACTACTGTTATTGTTTCCAGTGGCTAATAAACAAGCTTTCTTGTGTACCACTGACTTGTGTTATTAAGGCTATTATTATAGTCTACTTGCAAAGCTCTTAAATCAGACCTTAGTAAAAGATTACTGATTACTGATTACTGTTATATGTTCTCATGGTAGCCTCCACCAAAGTGTTGTTGTTTGGAAACATAAAAAATTGGGCCACCAACTGGTGATACATGTATTGTAATGTCAACAACTAGCTATGCCGCTAGTACCTGTTTTATGGTATCACTATGTAGCTCCATTAACATGGCTGAGATGCACTAATACGGGCTTACTTAAATCAACTGGAAGATATTCAGAAAAGGCATTTTGTATCACAGGTCTACTTGAATTGCTATATTGTCCAAGGATTTTGTCCTTCAGTAAAGATATCTTGATATTCAGTTCTACAATCCTCACTCAGAATGTTCACAGTTTAGTTCCACTCTCTAGTCCATTGTCTCCAGTTCTATACCCTATCTATTTAGTGTGGTGGAGTAGAATAGGGGATATAGTGGTTATTAGGCTTTTGCCTTACCACAGGAAACACAAGCTGGAATTTTCTTTTGATTTTTTCATTCACTCCATCAATTGTCGTTGCTGGTTGATATCCCAGAGCCAGTTAGTGATCCTTTCCCTGACCTGATCTGCCTCGCCATCTTGCTCTACACTCCCCCTGTTTCTAATAAGGTGCAGTTTTTCAATGTCCAGCCTCCACCTGGGTCTGCATGGGTCATCTCTTGCAATGCATATATTATGCAAGGCTATGCAGGCCATTATGACTTGCCTTATATTCTTTAGTTTACACTCTGTCTTCTTGTAGAGGATTCTCCACCTCCCTTTCAGCATACCATATGCATGCTCTGACACAACTCTAGCCGAGCAAAGCCTCTTGTTTAAGTAGCGCTCTCTTGGATCTCTTGTATTTTCATTGTACGGCTTCATTAGCCACGTGTAGTGTGGAAATGCTGAATCACCAACCGTTGTGATCGGTTAGTCCCCGTACTCCCTTGTTCGTAGCACAGTATTTGGGAAAACATGTCCCTGCTGAATCTCGGCAAAGAGGTAGCAACTTTTCAGAAGCCTCGAGTCATGGACAGAGCCAGGAGCCCCTACAGCTACCCAAAGAAACCTCTTATTAGAGGCAATAAATCCCATGCTGGATACTGAATATCTCTTCTTGAAGCTAAAATAATTTTTTAACTTTGTGCTGACATAAACATGGAACCCGTCCCAGGCTCCTGCGCATGGAAATTCCCAGTTCTCAAGGAAGCTTTCAAGTTCATGCTTCCATTCGGCTCTGTTTCTTGGCAAGTAAACACTGTCGTAAAGAGTTGACACCAGTATCTTACATACCTGGTTAAAAATGACGCTTGCAGTTGATTCTGCAACACCGAAAAGGTCTCCTACTGTGCTGTGGGTACATCCATGGGCCAATCGATACAAACAAATGGCAAGTTGTGTGTCTGGGGGTATCGGTTCAGGTTTGAAACGAGTTGGCTCTTTGACTAGTCGGTCTTCTATCTCACCAAGAATGAACTGAAACGTTGCTCGATTTGTACGCAAACGTTTTTTGAACGCAGTATTGTTCCAATTTCGGTAACCATTTCTCCACCACGAGGAACTTCTTTCTTCATACGCACCCCGTTCTTTCCTTGGTCTCTTCATCTTTATTTTGTTTGTATATTCACGCGCTCAGAGTTTATTTGGCGCTTGTTTACTCGTTCCAGTGTCTTCCGAGAATAGAGGCCAGTATTTTCTTAGAAGAGCCCTAAAAGTCGTCTACTTTTATGCGTCTCGTTTTTATACCAGACGGCTTTAACGTCTCAGACGTTAAATGCGTCCAGACGAATTTAACGTCTCTAGTATAAAAACGGCCATTATGGCCAACAAAAAAAATCTGTAAAGCTTAAACTTCGTTTTTAAAAACACGAGGCCTGAAGAAGGGGAAAAAACACAAAATTTGGATCGTTCAAAGAGGCCATTATGTAGCTCCGTTTTCCGTCCATATTTTACCCTGATCTGCAGTGTAATACCGTGGGATATTTCGTCCGTTCCATCGCCCTAATATGGTAAAGTGACGTAGTAGTGGAATGACATAGAGTATATTATATTTGATTATTCATTACATCCATTTTGAAACCACTGGTGACCCTTGCAGTCTGATTGGCCAACAGCAGAGTGATTTATTAGCGAATTGCACCATTTTTTTAGCTCTAAATCGCTTGTTCCCCAGCTAATGAGATATAAACGCTAAAAAAAACAACCAGCCAGATTTCAAGGCTTGTGTAAAGTGAGAAAGGAAATTTCGGGAAATGAAAGACGATGGAGCCAAATTTTTTAGCCCTTGTCCTCAAAACCTTTCTAGCATTTACAGAAAGTTTTTCGGTTTTAAAACGGATGTAAAAAAGCGTCAGTTTCGTGCAATTTTGGTCTGAAATCACTTTTGTGAATTACATGTACGATTTCGGACCAAAACTGCAATTCACTTAGTTGTCTTCGTTCAATTAACTTTTTAAATCGAGGATGATCTAACTCCGCGGACAGCAAAGTGTTGGCTTGATTTTCTGCGTAGCTGCTTGTCTTACTTCTTTTATCTTCCAGCAGTAAATAGAGATTACTTCATGGAAAATGCGCGCGTACGATTTTTATTCACGAGTTGTGTAGTATCAGAAAGCGAACGAGTGAGTTTTCTGATACGTATCAACGAGTGAATGAAAATCGTACAAAGCATTTTCCATGCTGTAATGTGTTTATTTCATAGGTGCTGAGATTTTTTCGTGTTGTCTTTGGTAGACAAATAGCACAAATGGGGTGATGAAAAGCGTAAAAAGTAGTTTAAAAATTTCTCAACAACAAGTTAATAAAAGTGCATAAAGTTCATAACACTTAAGCTTACCTGTGTTCATCAGATATCAATCAAGTTCAATGTCTATTAATATTATAATAAAGGAAGCCATGCCAACAAACTACTTAGTGTCATGTAAAGAAAGTCAATATCCAGTTATCATCAGAGTCACTTTCCAGTTCTAAAGGCCTCAGACGTTTCCATCTCGCCGCTTCGGGACTTGACGGATCTGTGGTAAGCGTCGGAGACTGATTTACTGAGTTGATATGAATGGAAAAATTACCACCTTGAATAACAGCTCCGCTGAATAGTGCCATGGACTGCTTACCGGTATTCTGGGAGTCGGAGGACGACGGACAAGCTGTTTCAGAAGAGGACGAAGCTGGGGTACCAGCCACCACACTGCTTAGCACTTTTGACATGTGCATCTGTTGTTTCGTTGAAACAGTGCTGTAGTTTTCTATGCTCTTCAAATTCCTATGGCCAGATAGCTGTGCAATTTGCGTAGGGGGAATTTCATTTTCACTTAGCGTCTGGATCATTGTCTTTCTGCCGCTGTGATTTCGCTTTCTGCACCATTGTCTTCATTAAACCGTTGAGTTTGTTTACGCCAACCGCATCGGACTTGAACCAGCTTTTTCTTGCGAGCGAGTCCGCCTTCAAACCGTTGTTTACGGCCAGATAAAAGGGAGCATTGTCTTGATTCATTTCCTCGGGTCTCTTCCTGGCAAAAATTTTGTAGACTGCGACAGGATCTCTTTCAGTTTCGTCGGTCGCAAACATTTTCGGCGGTACAGCTCTGACATTGCTGTAGTCTGAGCCAGTTCTAGTTTTCGTTTGACGTTCATTGAACTCCAAGTATTCCACTCCGTTTACCGTTTTGTGAAGCTTTACATCTCCCCAACACATATCACGATGTTCTTTGCACCCACGGAGTCCAAAGTGAAGAGTGTTGTTTAGCCAGAGCGTGTTTAATTGCGCCTCAGGACTACACATACCGAGCAAACCCTTCTCGTACAATATCTTTAACTCTTCGGTTGTCAAAGCTACCGATGCTTTCGGTTTATTCCCTTTTCCTTGCTTCTTTAGCTGCTTTTGCTTGGATTGAAGAACTTTTCTGGTTTTCTCAAAGACCAAGTCGTTGATTATGCTGGCAGAATAGCCCTTTTTCTTTAAATGTCGTTCGAAGCTGGCCATTAAACTTCGAAGCGAAGTCGGCTCGTACTCGTTGCCATCTTTAGTGCGTACGGAGATAATAAATTCGCTAATGAATTCATTCAACTCAGCCGCTGGAATATCTTCAATTTTCCTGTCTTCGTCCTTCGTTTTCAAAAATCTTTCAAGCAATTTTACATCTCTTTCAGTTTTTTGAGCGGTATTTTTGTTTTCGTGTTCTAAAATGAATTCTTCAACTGAGTAAACAGAAGCGAACCTTCCCTCGGCCATTTTTCAAAGCACGCGGGATTTGTGCAACGGCTCTCGCATGACGTTCTCTTCAGTACGTTCATTCATCATTAGTGAAATTTCGTCGTTCGCGTTGCTGATTGGACGAACGATAATTTTTCACGGTGAAATTTTGTCGTTCGTACTCCTGATTGGCTACATTTAGAATCAGTACGAATTTTATTCACTACGATTTTTGTGGGTAAATCTCAGTACCTATGAAATAAATATTTTTTTAACCACGGTAGAAGCAGCAACATAATACTGTTTTTTTTTTCTAAACAGAGAATCAAAGATGAGGTGCACTTTGAGAAGACGTAGCGTAGTCGAAGGATGACGAGGAACTGTCTGATGACGACAGTCGGGAAAAGAAGGCAGCTATTTTAGACACATGCACCTGTGAATTTAAGCCACAGAATATTCGAATATAGAATATTCGGATTTTTAGTGCAGGAGGTATTTCGATCAGTACAATTACTTTCAGTACAGCAATCAGGGGAGTTATTTGACAAATATCCAACTTCTGAAAAATTGGATCAGTGGCAAACAACAGTTCTCTTTGTATTAATTTATTCCATTGTGTAAAAGCTAGCGTGCCGCAAAGTCATCCATCAATTCGCAATAAAGTGCGTGAAATACGTTGTTTAAGATCTTTTTTAATTAGGCCATCTTTTTTTCTATCTTCAGAGCAGCCCGACGGACTCGGCTAGTTTTCGGTTGGTGTAGCCGACATACTCTGCATCACACAAATCATATTTACAATTGTACACAACGCATTGTTGGCTAATTATAGGTGGTTTGGGCTCGCAGATCTCGAGGCCTTCACATATTTTGCGACTCTTGAACACAGGTTGAAGAGTGTGATCTATTTTTTTGCTTTGATCTGATAATTGCCTTTTCACTGCGTCAGCTGACTTTTGATCTTTAAAAGGCAAAACCACTCGATGAACAGCATTTTCGTTGGTGGATAATTGAGCTTGCACTCCGGTGTTTAGTAAAGTAATAAATAAGAAATTTTACCTTAAATCTAAGAAAAACACTATTTCTGCAAAAAAAAAAAACAAAAAGGATTAAGATACGGAATTTCTCAACCGGCGCTGCATAGAATTTGCAGTTTTGGTGGTTTTTCCTTTTCCGCATGTTTCGTATCATTTGTGACCATCGCCTTCTATTTCCAGGTTCTATGAAAATGGTGCTTGGGTACCGGGCCTCCCAGCTCAGACTTTTTTCTGGATTTTTAACTGCTAGCAGTCTATTTCATTTCCTAGCCTGCGACGTGATAACATTAATACGAATTGAGAAACAGCCAGCAAGCGGCGGCGAGGGGTGAAGCTGCCCTATTCCCTCCTAGTTTCCTCCCCTTATTTTCGTAATTTTAACATTCTTAACCCTATTCAGACCGGGGGTGCGGATTCGCCCCTCCCCCCTCTCTGTAACTTCCAGAATATTTGAGCAATGACAATGAAACGGTCGAGGGTATATAGTATGTCTAAATATCTTTCTTTTGGTATATGTCACGTGGTATGATGACGTCATATCTTGTGACAATTATGACATAATGTCCAAACAGCCGCTATCCGCCATCCTGGATTTCAAACTTTTTCAAAAACCTCAGAAAACCGCCACAAATTACTGAAAGTCCTTAAAAACTTTAAACAAGAGAGGATAAAATTATCCTCTATTGCTTTAAAAGGTTGCCAAAAAGGCCTAAAAAGGTGAAAATAACTACATTAAACCTAATTTCATTACTAAAAACACAAAAATTACAAATTTAAAAAGATGTCTGTCAAAATGACATTACCATGGCAACGTTAAGTTCCCGAAACGACAACCTGTCATACCAAATTATTTCCAGATAAATTTTAGATAAAGCTGCCAAGTTTGGCAGCGTTTGGTTGATTATTGAAAAAGTTATAGACGCTCAAAGTCAGCGCGGGCACTCCCCCCCTGGATAGGGTTCAAAGACCATAAACAGACTCTCGCTGTCTATTCTTTTTATCAGAACGACCAATCCAAAATCAGCCAACTCGTTCGACTCTGAACGAATAAGAAAGGGTATTGCTTTACAAATAGAAGCGTCCACCCATTGAACATAGGGGGAAGTAAAAAATATCGGCTACCTTCGTCGAATAATCAAACGGCGACATAATAAATTTATACTGAACAAACGCGCTTGGAACAGCTTATTAACTTGCAAGCTTGATCGCAGTAGAAAAGTTTGATTGCAATTAAACAAACAAATTAATAAAACGTACCATATAGTCGCTCTTTAGATAGCGCTTGCTTTCCCTTAGGTTGGTTTCTTGCTGTTTTGCCCACCCCATCCCTTGCCCAGCGTCCCCAAGCATCTCGGCTACTTTGCATAAATCGTCAAATACCTCTTCCCCTGAAGAACTAATGTAATCGAGTCCTTGCAAGGACTTCCTCACAGACGCGGCGCAGACACTTAAGATACGCAATAGGGTGCTGCGACTGAGGGCTTTAAATCCTGTCTCCTCACAATACGCGAGGTACTGCTTTACTAATCGTTCTGGAACCATGGTTCGTATAACGTTGGGAACTTTGATTGTCTCTTTTGATGACAACGTTATAGTCCTTTCCCCTAAGGGCAAGTCCTGGATAACATGTGCACTTGTGATAAATGTGATAAAGTGATCTATTTGTGCAGTGGAAACACGCATCACAGGCGCTTGCGCTGACGATACAGGTGCTCCTCTCCCGTGTGTCAGGCAATGACGTTCGGCCTCGGTAAAACGACAACTTGACAGGTCTGGTATCCAAAGTCGCAACTTCTTAAACGACACTTTATCGGCCATGATAGACAGAATTTGCCGACGCGTCTCCCAACATCCAGCAGCGTGGTAGAAATCAGCAAGCGCTCCTAGTAGGGTTTCATCGACAGTTGTCTCAGTTTCCTCGTCACTTGACAAAGTTCTTTGGATGGCTTGCGAGGAACACATTGCCTGGAACAACTCAGCAGGACTTTTGGGCGCGATATCTTCCATTATGGCGGTCACACCTTGTGCAGCTTTTCGTATGTAGTAACGCTTTGTTCTCTCACTTGCGATCTCCCACGGAGTGTTAAGCCTAGAACGGACTGGACTGGTATCTCGGGATTGCAAATACTCGTTAAGAGCGTCAGCAGGTTTGTGTTCTGCCTGTGCACCGCGAAGATCATCGAACGTTACTTCAAAAGAAGTGCATGTGTCGTCACTTTCAGGAATGTAGAAACTTCCTCCTGGTGTTATGGGAGTACTGTGAGGAATGTGAGGAACACCAGCGTAATCCTCCCCCTCGTCCTACAAATGTAACCACGCGTGTACAGTAAACACCTGAATATAAGAACATTGATTTCGGGCTTCTGGCTGATCGTGTTTTTGTTTAATGGGTGTTTAGTGGAAATCAGCCTGAAAGTGTTATTAAATTGTTCTTAAATTTTTTTCAGAAATAGTATACATTATACATCACTAGAGGTGTAATTAGCATACAATGTTTCATTACTTGCACTAAAAAAAAAATACAAATTAAAAGTAAATAAATACTATCAATGATATAAGTAAACACGAATTTTCTTAGTTTTTCTAGACCAGCTTTCTTTTTCTGGTATCCTTTTTCTTTTTTGAACATAAAGAACATGTTTATTTTTCAGGCTGAATTTGTTCTTCAGTATATAAATGGTGCTTAATTGCCCAATTTTTAGCCTGATGTTTTTAATCCACGTGTTCTTGTATGCGGGTGTTTACCTTTAGTATTACTTTGCGTTTCTGTTTTTCTCGGAGAAATAAGAAGACATAAGTATGTGACTTGGTAGAAAGTCATAACGTGTTTAATTCCAAATGCTTTATTTGACTGGGCTACACTGCCGCTCAAATTCTGAAACATCAGGCACGGTGAGAAGTAATAGAAAAAACGAGATGGAGGCCAGCACAAGTAGGAAGTCTGAACTTACATGAAATGACTTCCAATGTCGTGCATCGGCTTGAATGTAATTATTTAATATTGATAGCGCTATTCATAAATGATGGAGATTGTTTTGCCAAGCAAACGAAACTGCTGGATAACTCCTTGCGTTGAAATCTCAACGTGATCAAATAAGATACAACCCATAGTAAGTTTATGCAAGTCTACACAAGTGGGTGTCTATCAGAAAACAGGTCATGTTTAATCACAAATTTTCTTAAAATCGCAATTGAAAATGCCCTTTCACCGCGAAAATACATGTGAAAACTACTGAAACTACTACGTACTGTCACTTAAGTGGCTCACCAAAGAAACATTTTCAATTCCTTTTGCAATGCCAGCTATGCTTGAGCTACAGGCTTCTGTAACCGTTATCTTGGTATCCGGAACAATGGCCGTCCTGCAGTCACGACAAATTCCTACACACACAAAAAAATGATAAATTATTATCGAACTGTTCGTGAAGTAAAACTAATTTATCAATACTAATGGCTCAGTCAATTCCAAGCCCGCTCATCCCCCGGGGCATTTGTCTTTTGATTTTGAAAATGTGGAAAATGCCCCACGGTGAGGCAAGCTCACGGATACAAGTAATCATTCCCAAATAAATGTAACTTCATTAGAACGACTGGAGCCTGCAACAGCTTCAATCGCTTTTTAACATCTAAAACTGCAACTCTTTTGCTTCCCGGCGTTCTTCTTTGCTTCATCTCTCGTCTGCACACGGAAACAACAGTGCAAATATTTGTACAGTGTTGGGGCAGAACCATTTACAGTAAACTCTCGCTTTGCGGACACCTCGCTATTACGGACATTCTCTATTACGGACAAAATTCAGATCCCCGACAAAAGAGGTTTGTCTGGAAATGACCCCAAGCATTACGGACTCTCACTACAGTGAAAACCCGATATAACGATAATGCTGAAAAGTAACCAAACATATCGTTATATCGGGGTAAAAGGAGTCAAAGAGAAGCTGTCGACGGAAACTTTACAGATGCTCGGTTACTGTATTAAATTCAATGTTTTGCTTAAATTGTGACTGTGTACTGTGTACTCATTCTCATCTTTATATCGGGAATATTGTTATATCGAAGATCGTTATATCGGGGTTCTGTCCCATACAGTTTACTGTAACATTTGCAGGGACATAGAATATTCATCGTTATACCGGGAATATCGTTATATCGAGGATCGTTATATCGGGGTTCCACTGTATTACGGACACTAAACGACATCCCGAGGGTGTTCGTTGTAACGAGAGTTGACTCAAAAGATCACGTTGTTTTTGACAATGCTTCACTAACCGGGCTGATCGTCTTTGGAAAAGGCCCCACACCGGGGTAGGGGAATGAGAATGAATAAACGAACGAACGAACGAACGAACGAACGAACGAACGAAAATGAATAAGAATGAGAATGCCTGGGGGAATTTTCGGGCTTGGATTGGCCCTTTTACAGTTGCGTGCTTAGATACCAAGCCTTTGAGTGGAAGCGAGGCTCAAGTTGACCTTGTTTTGATACAAACCCTGTTACTTTTGATATGCAAATCCTTTAATTGTTATGCTAACCAGTTTTTGATCTCTATCGTGTCAAGGTCAACACAAACCTCGCTTTCATACAGAGGCCTGGTTAAATATCACAGAACTGTAAAATGGTCTATTGACAGAGACAAAAACAGTTTTTCAATCCTACCCTCCCTTTCGCTTTTCAAATCACCTGCCCGTCCCCTCGCACCACCAACGCACCAACGCAACAACGTCCCCTAAATCTATCCATCACTCTTCCCTAAGAGCGGTTTTGCGGTGTAGTGAGTGGCCCTGAGCCCCTGACCAAAATAAATATCTCGGTCCCAGGCCGCATGGTGAGATAAGGAAAGAGGTGTATTAGGCGACAAGAAGTTAACAAAAAAAAAAAAAAAGCAAACTGATAAAAAATAATTTGATTAAACTAGCTCACGCTACAAAATTAAATGGCTGGTTAAATGTGTGCTTCAGTGGTAGTACTAATTTAAATGTGCCAATTTTGTTTTTACTAGTAACTTCTTGTCCTGTTTGTCATAGCGTCCTATTGTAAATCAACAACATTACAAAGACTTACCAGACCCAACAGGGAGGAATATTCCCGTGCGTCGGTCACCCTTTCGTGATTTCCCTTCCTTGGCATGCCTCGATAATTCGGATGGAACACGGCACCGTTGCGAGCCTCTTCGCCATCCAATGCCCAAAGAGGAGCGATGGGCTGGGCAGATAGTCATGTCCGAAATATTGGAAGGCAACGTGAATATCGATGCCCGTGCTAAAATGAGATCGACTTCCGCTTCAACATCATTCACGCCCACAGCCTGTTTGTGTGCTGAGATGTCTTTCTCACATAAGCGCAGAGGGACTATAAGAGAAGCTTTTCCTGCAACTCAACTTCGCTTATCTTGGGAGCAGCATCCCCCAACTAATCTTTGAAAGGAGCAATTGATTTCCATTTGGTACGCTCACCTCTTAAAAAAATCGGCGGCCAAACGAAAACACCATTTTAGTTTGGTTTGGAAAATTTATGGCGCGACGCTCATTATATGGTTAGAAACTGTGCCTAATCTAATTTATTTTTTTAGCGCTGAGTATTTTAGAAAGCTACTCCCAATTTAATTTTTCCACTCCCGCACCTGTCTACCCTGCAAGCCGTCACAATTTACAAAATAGGATAACACATTTTTTACGTCGTTAAAAATTAATGCAGTGAAATTTCCTCTATGCTGTAGTAACATATACCTAATTCATTTAGCAGTCTAGGGTGACGCATGAGTGGTATCGCGCTTAAAAAATGCAAACAACGGTAATTTTAAATTTTGGATTTAAAACTTTTTCCCGGAAATAAAATAGGGGATAAGAAGGAAAGAAAATAAGAGCGTATTGGTAACCGAGCCTCCTTTCGAGTGACATGTTATTGCGTGACACCATCGCAAAAAACGAACGTCAATGATTCATTTCATCTGTCAGGATGCTCTGGCTCGTTCTATAAAAAACAAACTTCCATTCTTATTGTGAAAGGAAGACTTGTAAAATGTGAGTGTTCCAAGCTGAAATATGGTTATAACTGTCCAGCAATGCGACGTTTCCGGCAGGAACCTTCGTGAGATGCATGTTTTCACTGTGATTTGGTATACACCGCCTGTAGTGCTGTACTATCGAAGCTGTTGTCAAGTCTCTTTATAACAAGATTGAGGCAAGAAACCAATCTTAGAAAGGTGTTTTTCGCCAGGTGAGCTTAAGAAATCCAGTTTACAATCTAGTATAGATCAAAGCGATAAGATTTTGTTGGAATTATGGCTTCGATAATAAAAAGCCTAATTGGATTATCTGCGGTTGTTTACATGTCGGCATTGCGATTTGCACGAAATAGACCCGGCTACTTCTTCGCAGTAATTAAGAGCCCCAAATTAATTTTTATATCCTTGGAAAGAACATCCTTCCCACTTTGTAAAAATGCTCATCTCAAGTGATTCCGAGTTATACCAGGTAGGAAAAAATTTTTATTGAAAAACTGCTCCAAAATGTAATTTTTAATCAATCAAATTTTGGCTATTTTCAAATATTCGCCAATAATTCATAGTTATGTCAACAAGCCTGTTATTAGATTCAAATAATTTTTTAATACCTCGTATACAAATTGTAACGTTGTGGCTTTGTACAGCAACAAACGGGTCTTGTAAACATAAACAAACGATACTTTTAATCCATAAGTCGGTTTACTGAAGACTCGAGTACAAGATCGCGAGCACATGTAAAATCTGGCATCCTATTGGATAACAACTATCACGTGACGTTACACAAATAGGTAAAATCAGAAAGACTTGCTTTCTTTTGCGCTTTTGAGGAATAAAGGTTTTGTTGCCCTACTCGTCGACTTCATTTCGGCCATTTTATGGCGCTTGGGGCTCGATACAGTGTTTGGTGATTTTCTAGAAAATAAAAACAGCTCTGAACAAAAAAAATTATACCACGTTTATAGACTTACCCTAAGGTATCTCTGAGCGAAATATGAGGATAGTGATTTTTCCGATCATGTGCCACCTCCCACGCGGTGATAAAAAAAATTCGCTCTTAAGCTCATAAATTATTTTATGAAACAGGGTGGATTTGTTATTTAAATAAATTTTCTGGTAGTCACAACTGACTGGCCAGCATATTTAATATATAAACTGATTTTTTAGAGATTTTTCTTTATTTTGAGCGCTTTCCTACATTATTATCAGAGTAGTGATAAGCAGTTGGTTCTCTCTCAAACAACCCTTCTTACGCCAAAAAAAAATTTACTTACATGTAGAGAAAAATCAAAACAACTAGTAGAAACTTTTTGGGCAACTGATGACTTTTTTTTACAGCCCAATCAGTTGTTATAAAGTAAACATACTAGTAAGTTAGAGTAGTTTCAGAAGCAATTATTGGCTGAATCAGGCAACTTACTGTACTTAAATACTTATTCATTTTCCATGTTTGAAACATTTCCTTGAAATCCCTTTATCCACAATATCACTCATTTTTCATGAAATCAAGAATCTTCCATAACTATCACGCACTTTGGATTTGTAAATCAGACAAAACTATCAGTTTTTTTGGTACTGGAGGGCAGAAAACCTCTGGAATGCTTTATGTTTTTAATGTCTAAGAACTATAAAATTAACAAAAAAAATGTCAAATTTCTGGCGACTAAACTGGTCATGGTTCTTTTCCAAAACAATTCATGACAAGGAAAAAGTTTGTATTTACAAAGTGGTTTGTCATAGGAAGTGTTTGCTTAATTAAGAGGAAGGGTTAACAATAGCCAAACCAACGTCCAAATAGAATGACTTGGAATTCTGATTGATGTGTGAACTTTTCAATAGACTGCTCTGTGCTGGCAGATCTGGTTTACAGAAACTTGTCTTAGATTTGGTTATTTTAATAGATTTATAATAGTTTGATGTAATTTCATTATTAGTTATATTAATAATTTATTGCAAGTTTTAAAAATTTTTAGAGAAGTTGAACAAAAGATACTTAAGATTATTGAGATGAACAGAGAGGGAGTTGTTGCCCAATCCATACTTTTTGTTATATGTTTATATTTAGCTAAAATGGATGTGTTCTTTGGTACTGCATGTACAATTTTCATTAGCTGTGTGGTAGTTGAATAAATGAATTATCGCCGGGATGCTCTCTGCTTATCATTAGAAAATATAAATTTTGAGTACTTTAACGTGCTTGAAGGTTGGTTTTTGAAGTTATTTTTGTTACATCTTGAATGTTAAGAAGGAGGAATGTCAGTAAGAAATGAGAGTCCCTGTACCTCTCTTCAACATCAGCTGTTGTGAGAGACACTACTAACTTTGTGTTTTCGCTTTTTGTTGTTGTTGTTTTTTTCTGATGGAGGTCCAAACACGGAAAGGAACCGTTATGTGCTATCTAAACAGAGGGTTCTAAAACACTATCAAACGTCTTTTATCTTTTTCTTGTCTACTGAGTGATTTGCGGATAACTTTACTTTTGAAGGGCACCACGTTGGTGCACGTGCTGTGGAAGAATTCGGCTACGCGTGACTATTATAAATATATCCTGTCTTCTGGAATATTATTGTAACGTCAATTATTTTTTTTTTAGGCAGATTGTTGAACGCTAAGTGCACGACGAAGATAAGGTTTTCTTGGACGTATATTTTTAGCGAAGTTCGCTAAGGCTCTCGGATAATTTCCAACTTTAACTCGTTTTCTTGTAGTGTACTTGGAAATCTGGGGATTAAATGGGAAGTCTTTACATCCTTTGTTATGAACAAAGTACTTGACCAGGAAACTTCGATTTGATCAAAATGTGCAATCATTTTTTCTTCCTATCACAAGATAGGCAATTTTGTACTCTTTCTTTTACAAAAGTTTGTGACAAAAGCCTTCTCTGTTTCTGAGAACATGTAACTCTTGGTTTCTTAGAAAAAGTAACTCGACAGTAAAAAGAAAGGAACCTTGGGTAACCAGTCTTTCAGAATACAAATAAGTAAAATGGAAAAAACGCAAGCCACACCCAAAATGTTCTCTCAAAAAAAGGGGGATTACATAAGACATTTGCAAAGAGCATTCCTGTCACAAGAGGAAGAGGGAAAGAAATGAAGTAAACTCGTTGGATTTTTCTGTCTCCCCAAAATCAAAACAACGGCCAATTAAATTACAAGAAAATAGCACATTTGCGGCAAAATCTCGTTGCCACGTAATCTTAATTTTTTACTTACTAGACTTTTTCATGAAAAAAAAAACCGGAAGGAACTATTGAGTAATCGAAGGAAACGCATGTAACCGAGGATAAGAATGCAAATATCATGAACGGCTGAGTCTGGTGTCAGGGTTACGCGCATGATCGGAAAGGTGCTTCTTATTAACGTCAGTCATTCGCAATGGACAAGAGCTTTTGGGGTGCAAAATTCCCATGTGATATGAGTCACCTTCCTTATAGCGCGTGTGCTAACATTTATATTTAATACGAAGTGGAGTTCCGTTTCCAGATTTGTTGGAAGTCACATGCCAACAGGATAACATAAAAATATTTTGCAGATAAGTGATAAGAAGAAGGCAGCTTTGAGCGTGAAATTTGAAGGTCTTGGCCAAAAAAAATGACTAAAAGAATCACGATTTAATTTACAAATTATGCTGCTTTTATTTAAAAACACAACATTCGATCAAGCATATAATCGATAATACCTCAAAATGAGTTGATCTAATGGAATAATTCGGTGTAAACATCAATCATATCTGCATCTCACATTTCTGACCCCAGTTGAAAATTATATTAAAAAATTTACCTTTTCTCGTTTAACTTACTCAAAGAGGTCGGCTCGTTTACGACTAACCTAGATTAGGCATATGTTTCCTTTCTACTCAAAGAAGTTAGACTCCCAAGAACCTTTATAAGAAACAACTACAAGCTGAATAGCTTCACCACATTCGTTGTTACTGGAAAAAAATTCCATACAAAGAGAAATTCTTCGAAACCTTTTCAATCGCAATCTACGTTTTCGAAACTACATAAAGATACACATTCTAAAGTTCACTTGAATGGAAAAATTAAACTTAAACTTGCCTTGCCGTTACATATATTTAAATGCAATGAAATTATTCATGACAATCTTTTGAAAGGCTTGGCTGACTGTTCCTTTTATGCTTCATTGTTGTCCTTCGCAGTCAATTTCTTCTTTCCTAAAGAAAAACAAACAAAAGAATACTTAAGTTGAAGGTTGCATTTAAAAACTGCTGTCATTATAATCTTCGCTATCAATGTGGCTGACTCGCGCGCGGCCCCACCGGTTCTGCAAATTGTTAATTGCGGTTGAAAAATTTAACTATCATTCTGAGTTTGAAAATGGTCATATACACAGTATGCCGATGGTATTTTTTCTAGCTAAAATTTGGGATTCTCAAAACTATTTATGTCATTGTGTTCAGAGAAGGCACGCGTAAGACATTGGAATGTACACCAACACGTCCTCTCCTCGTTACAGTTACCTTAACTGAATCGAAACCAGATTCTGTACGTGACTCAGTGTGTGTCTAGTGACCTTTTGGAAATAAAACTAACCTTTGTTTCTTGACGTCAAATGTCACGTTATCTCCAATCAACATGAACGGAGCCCACTGGGAAACTTTGGGAAAGCCGTTGCTTCTCAGCCATTTCATGGCCTGGTGAAGACATTCACTGACACTATCTCCATCAACAAGGTGTCTGTAGAAACGCCTCATAAACTTCTCTGTTGCTTCGTCCTCTATAGCCCACAGTGTCACCAACACTGAACGTGCGCCGGATGCTAGGAACGCTCGAGCGATTCCAATACCTCCCTCGGCTTTAATTTCTCCACGTCCACTGTGACAACAGCTGAGTACTACCAGTTTGGCTCGCAGCTTAACTTGTGATACATCTGAGATCCTCAAAAGGAAGTCCTCCTCCTCTGGAATAGTGTTAGTGGCAAGGCTGGGGGAGAGGGCAGTCTCTCTTCTTTCGGCGTTACCGTGGGCAGCAATATGAATCAAACTCACTGAATTCATCGCTGAAGTACTTCCTGCTTCTTTGCACGCTCTCCCAACAAAGGCTGAACTCCGAGCAGTTCTCCGATCATCTCTGCTTCCTTTCTTGCACAATGCAACGGTACAAATGTCCTTTCACCTCCCATGTAATACACCTTTCCTACCTTGGGGTCACCAACAACTACTGCACCGGTCTCGCTATGAAAATCTGCTGGGCAGTCCTGAATGAGCTTAAGAGTCGTCAAGGAAGGGACGATGCGAATCCTTTGAGTCTCCGATATGTATCTACCGTCTGATTGGTCTCTTAAGGCTGCAAATGGGACTCGGTACAAGCTACGCTCGGGTACAATGACGATCTCTGGCTCTGTAAGTAGATCGGCCACTGGAGTGATGATGAGTTTGAAACACAAATTAAGTCTTCTTGTTGTTTCTGGGGTTTCCTCTCCTCGCAAATCTGCTTCGCTCTGGTCGTGAAGTGACATCGGCATGGTTTCACTCAAAGATCGATCTTCGCATTTATGGGCAGGTAAAATTCCAAAGCCGCGGAGACCTTGGTCGAAAAAGCTATTTAAATTGAAAGCTTTCTCCGCTATGAGAGTCTTGTCATCCACTTCTTCGGAAGATCGGAATAAAGTGTCTCCGTTACTTTTCAAAACCCACAATCGAACAGTTCGGTCATAATACGAAATGTACAGGATAGTACAGTTGTCTTCTTTACTTAAAACCTCTTCAATCCCGAACCATGATTTGGGATCAGATGAGATGTGATTTTCAGCGGAAAAGTTGAGTGCCATTGATTCTGCCAAGCACCGAGCCCGTGTCAGCTCCTCGGCATAAAGTGCTTCTTTAGGATTTGTGGAATAACAAAGTAATTCACTGAGCATCTTGTATGGAAAACGTCCACCATGTTCTAAAAGAGATACTTGAAACTGCTCGTTTCCGTGCAGGGAATGTCGCAATTTTTCATATTTGGCAATACATTCATAAAGATAAGACTTCGCTACCTGGAACTTTGATTGCAACATTTTAATGCGAGAGAGGTGAAGTAAGGCTTCAAAATCGCCTCTAATGTCGCCAATAGCACTAGTTATTGAGAGGGCCTTCTCAATGCATTCTACAGCTTTGTTTTGTTTGCCATGTTGAAGTATACGTGCTTTTGCCAGGAATGTCTCTGCTTGTTGCATTCTGTAACCAATCTCAGTGCTGATAAAAATCTGCTTCTTGACGTATATTTTGGCCATTTGATAATCATGTAACAAATAACGAACACCTGCAAGGATACAATACGCTGACACTTCTCCTTCTCTGTTACCAATTTCCATCGCAGTAGAGAGCGCTTTTTCCCCATGTTCGTGAGCGTCCCGATATTTTCCATGCAAAAGAAAGCAACTTCCGAGTCCGAGGAAACATTGCATTACTTTCTCACTGTGACTAGTTTCCATGTAAATGGCAAGTGCTTTTTCGTAATGCTCCTTAGCCTTCTGAAATTCACCAAGCAAATATAACACCTTTCCTTGGTTTGTCCGAGCGTCTGCTTCTCCCACCTTGTCTGTAGTTTCCATGCCGATGGCAAGTGCTTTCTCGTGATATTCGTAAGCCTTCTCATATTCACCAAGTAAATGAAACACCACTCTTAGGTTTGTGCGAGCGCCTGCTTTTCCCTTCTTGCGTCTAGGTTCCAAGTTGATTGCAAGTGCTTTCTCGGAATACTCTTTAGCCTTCTGATATTCACCAAGTAAAATTAACACCGCTCCTAGGTTTGAGCGGGGTGTTACTTCTCCCTCCTTGTTTTTTATTTGCATGAAGATGGCAAGTGCTACCTCGTAATATTCTTTAGCCTTCTGAAATTCACACTGTGAACTTAACACCACTCCTAGGTTTGTGCGAGCGTCTGCTTCTCCCTTCTTGTGTCCAATCTCCATGTTGATTGCAAGTGCTTTCTCGGAATGCTCTTTCGCCCTCTGATATTCCCCGAGTGAATATAACACCGCCCCTTGGTTTGTGCGAGCGTCTGCTTCTCCCTTCTTGTGTCCAATCTCCATGTTGATTGCAATTGCTTTCTCAAAATACTCTTTCGCCCTCTGATATTCCCCGAGTGAATGTAACACCGCCCCTAGGTTTGTGCGAGCGACTGCTTCTCCCTCCTTGTCTTTTATTTTCATGTGGATGGCAATTGCTTTCTCATAATACTCTTTAGCCTTCTGATATTCGCCGAGTGAATGTAAAGCCGCTCCTAGGTTTGTGCAAGCGTCTGCTTCTCCCCTCTTGTCTTTTATTTCCATGCAGATCGCAAGTGCTTTCTCATGATATTCTTTAGCCTTCTGATATTCACTGAGTGAAAATAACATCGTTCCTAGGTCTGCGTAAGCTTTTGCTTCACCACTCTTGTCTTTTATTTCCATGCGTATGGCAAGAGCTCTCTCATAACATTCTTCAGCCTTCTGATATTCTCCGAGTAAATGAAACACTATCCCTAGGTCCATGCGAGCGTCTGCTTCTCCCCGCTTGTGTCTAATTTCCATGCACCTAACAAGATAACAAGTGCTTTCTCGGAATACTCTTTTGCCTTCTGAAATTCTCCGAGTAAATGTAACACCTTTCCTAGACTTGTACGAGCGATTGCTTCTCCCTCCTTGTCTTTTATTTGCATGTAGATGGCAAGTGCTTTCTCGAGATATTCTTTAACTTTCTGATATTCACCAAGTGAATGTAACACCGCTCCTAGGTTTGTGCGAGCTTCTGCTTCTCCCTTCTTGTCTCTAATTTCCATGCAGATGGCAAGTGCTTTCTCGAAATACTCTTTCGCCCTCTGATATTCCCCGAGTGAATGTAACACCGCCCCTTGGTTTGTGCGAGCGACTGCTTCTCCCTCATTGTCTTTTATTTGCATGCGGATGGCAATTGCTTTCTCGTGATATTCTTTAGCCTTCTGACATTCACCAAGTGAATGTAACACCTCTCCCAGGTTTGTGCGAGCTTCTGCTTCTCCCTTCTTGTCTATAATTTCCATGTAGATGGCAAGTGCTTTCTCGAAATTCCCTTTTGCCTGTTGATACTTTCTTTGCATTTCGGAAACACATCCGAGACAACTGTAGGCTTCAGATTCTATTTCCCTCTCTCCAACGATCTTTGCGATTCTGATTGCTCTCCCGCAATGCTTTTCTGACTCTTCAAGTCGTCTTTGGTCTTTACACATTTTTGCCAGTTGTAGGCTGAAGAATGCTTCTATCATCGTGTTACCAGTGTCATGCGATAGCGCAACAGCTATTTCGGCGCATCTTTCACTCTTTGTGTTATCATTCATGTCGAAGTATACCAGGAACATTATCTTGAAGATCTTAAAGTAAAGGTATTTTGTAAAAAGATCTTCTTTACTGTGAGTTACATTATTCAGTACCACTAAACATTTGTTGCATAGCTCGATTGCTATTAAATAAGCGTTTAGTGTTTTTAAGGAATAAGGAAACAGCATTAGGCTATTTCGATGGTTTTTTCGACTTCTGCTTCTCCTTCTCTGTTGTCCATTATGGTCTCTGAATGTTTAAGAAGATGGCCGCTGAAATAAAGAAAAGATATATATGTATATGGTAAGGAAGATCTTCCTTATTTATTTTTATCTTGGGTCGATTGAATTTTCTTCATTATCAGCCATATAGACAGTCGAACTGTATTAAGCGGTCACCCACGGGGAATGGAAGGATGACCGCTTAATACAGTTTGACCGCTTAAAAGAGATTCCACAGATTAGGGGTATTATCAAAAACGATGAACAATGCCATTTTATGCCACAACTGCCTACTTAATGTACAGAATCTCGCTCGAAAATAATACTTCCTTTGATTTTTGGAGACAAACATGGATTAAAAATTACTTGAAAGATTATTCTTAGTTTTATTTGAGTGGTCCCACTCTCAGTGATCGTTCATTACAAGTGAAAGACATTAAAAACAGGCCGTTGGGACTTAGTAGAGGGTGACCGCGACCGTTTGATAGAGGCGATCGCTAAATAGAGGTGAAAATTATAGTGATTAATGGGAATCAATTTTTGGGAAACAAAATTCTTCTTTTTTTTTTACCCTTATTTTGGGTAAAAAAAAGAAGAATCGCAGAAGGAAGAACAACCGGAATAGCAAGCGACAAAAAAATCGCCCCCCCTCCCCCCTCAGCTCAATTCCAATTATAAAAGCAGCAAATTGACTGAGTCGATATTAAATTTTTCAAACATTAAAAATCTGATACGCGATAAACCTTACTTTAGAGAACTAAAACATTTCATTGATATTCATCATTTATTGCCAACAAATATTTCAACGGTGTAGCGGTATATTTAATAATATTTTTTAAAAGCAGTATTTTTTCCAGTAGTTTTTCTCAGCCATGCGTGACATTTGAGCATTCGATAAAGGTCGTTCGGCTTCTAGCCATGCAAGAATGTTGCGTGACTGACTGATACTAAAAGTTAGCCTCAATCCTTTTGAAACAAAACCAAACAAGAATCTCGGCCTTCGAATCGTCTTTAAACTAAGACCCGAGACTTCACACGACACTGATCATGAATTCACTTCTCAATTGAACATAAACGCAGAACAAACTCATTCAAACCACTCCTATTATATTTTCGTCGCGTAACACTTATAAGCTTAAATTGTAGTAGACAGCTAGTTTACAACTCGAAACTAAGGAGGATCAAGTGCAAATAGTTTTGCGATTATACATCTGTGTAGATCAGGCGCTGCGGTTTTGCTACACCGGGCGTGGTATAAGATTTAAACTGGTATTCGTCCATGCTTTAGCCGCAATGATGTTTTCTCGCAGATCTCAGAGTATATGCTGTAATCCAGCACACAAAAAATAATTCAATCAAAGCTTTGGGACTGAAATTGTACAAATCAAGTAGGGAATCCGTGCATGCCGTGTGTTTGTTAGACTTTTATAAATTAGCCTCTAGACAACTCCTGATTTGTAATTCGCTCTTAAACCCGGGCCCTTTAACTTCTAAAATCTGATTGTTAATTGTATTCTCTCGTCTAACTGCTACACATTTTCTTGTAAATTAGTCACGAGAAATTGGTGTTCGATCAAGATAACAACTTCTACCTAATAAGTCTAATTATTCTCATTACCTGTTTGCAGGATAATTTAGGGATATCATATAGAGAAGTTACATCTTAATCACTTACCCTTAAACTCATGCGACATTTCCTCCATACAAATGAATCAAATTCCTCTCTCTGAGAAGAAAAACAAGTCAGCATTAGCTATGCAGAGCCATTGGGTGTCGAATGTTTATATTTTTAGCATGATGTTTCGATGCTATGACTTTGAAACTAAAAGCAAGAAACTGAAGAGGTTTTTTCGTAGCAGAATATAGTTAATGCAAAAAGCCGTAGTAAGGGCGATTAAACCTGACCGGTTAAAAACCAGAAAAAAGAAGAATGAATAAACACAGTTTGACTCATTCTATTGAATCGTACTCAAGAACAAAATGATCAAGTTTTAATCGGATCGTGATGTTCTTTTTTAAAGAAAATTTTGCTTTCTGACTCCCTTATAAGACACATGAAGATAACTTGGCGCTCTTCTTGAATTTGATAGGTGATGTAACTGTTTTCTCTAACATTCGCACTTACCCATCATATCTTTGAGCCGTTATGATTTCAACGTTTTTCGTTTGTAGCATGAAAACTTTGCTTTGATTAGAACGGGGCCTTTCCTGCATCACCCGGCTTTAAATTAAATCTCTTAGATTTGATCTGTTGTATATCATGAGAGGACGGATTTGGCTTTTACTGCAAGTATCATCTCCCGCAGCGTTATTTCCCCGGGTCTGTTGGGAATGTGTGAAAGCATGTCAAACTGTAGGGGATCAACTTATCATCGCTAGTTATTGGGGTCCTGGTTAGTGTTGTAATGCGACTCCATAACCTTTCAAACTATAGAGATCAATGTGTCATCGCTCGTGAATGGAGTCCTGGTTAATTTTATGAATGTCGTAATATGATTCTTTAATCTTAATAAAAGACTCCATTCTTTTGCATGTTGTCCTGTTGTCTTAACCGGCTTTTCTACTACATATTTGTGGGTATGCAGCTATCCCGTATGGTGAATAACTAAAAGCGCTTTCCAGTAGCCTGTTGGTAAACGGCTTTCTCTCAGGTCTTCACGGTCAATTGATTTCGTGGGCGTATCGAAATATCGAGCCAGACACCCTTAATGCATGCGTACTTGTCTTCAATTATTCTGTCAAAAATACCATTTACATTTCGACCATGTCTAATCAGCACGACTTATTTAATATGAGAGGAACTAGTACTATGAGAAA